AACAATTAGTTTTTAAAAAGTGAAAAAAAAGGGTGCAGCTGATATTTACAACGATCTTTCTGATTCCATTTATGATAATTAGAATTATGAATGAATTTTTTTTTTTTAAAGTAATTGTTATGATTATTTATAGTGAGTATATGTATCTGTCGTGAAATTAGGAATTACTCATTTCTTACGACAATTCCGCTCAGATTTTTGATTTTCTCTACGATTCTATACTTTTTTTTAATTCGTTATTTCAAGTGGAAAAGTATAATTTAGCATTATGAATTTTTAGAATGTAAAAATTTTTCAAATTTCAGACATTTATCAAAATTCAAATAAGAAAAGTTATTTTTTCTTTATTGTTAATTTAGACCATTTATCTTGACAAATTTTTAATGCTTAAAATTATTCATACTAAAATTGCTAACTATCTCAATAATAGTAAATATCAATATAAATTTCTGATGATAACAGAAATAATCATGATAATATTAATAATGACAATAATAATAATTAATGATAATAATAATAATAATAATAATAATAATAATAGGAGAACATGGCAGAAATCCTTGCCATATTCGAGCCAATAAATAAAATACTAAATGATGCGTATTTGGCAGAATCAGAAAAGCTTAAGTAAATTTAAAAAAAAATGCTTGGCATGCAATACCGATAATAAGCACATTTCATCTTCATCCTTACATAAAATTGTTGTTGGATTTACTATTTTTTCAGCTCAGATCATCTAACTATTTAACTTTACAAAATAATAGTAAGGAAGTTTTGGCTAAGTTATTATTACCAATATTGTTTGTTAATGTTAGAAAGGTAAAGAGAATTAGTAATTAAAAATTTTAATTAAACCTTTCTTTGCATTAATATGTTTAATTAAAGTTACTAAAAAGTATTTGTCTATTTAAATAAAAATTGCGAGAACATTATTGTTTTTTAGATGGATAGGAATATTAGCATTGGAATTCATAGGAAAATATTATTTTCAATGAAAACTTTTTTAGCGTTTATTTTTCTCAATTTTGATAGAATTATCAATCGAACGAATCTTTTACTAATAATTTGTAATTTCTTGCTGACTGACAAAAATCTTTATAATATCAAAAAATTCAAACAAAAGTTTTACTGTAAAAATTGTGTGAGCAAAAGTGCCACACAAATGCTTGAATACATTGCATACCATCGTGGCATATCATCGTGGCATTACTCTTACATAGCTTACAAAAATGTGTAATATCAAATATGAATGAATTATCAATCAAACATATCTTTTACTATTTATTCCTAATTTTTGTAAGATGATTATTGATAATATTTCAAATACAACTTTTTTATTTTTAACTCTCTTTAAATGACATATAAAATTAAATTAAATTTGAATGTAAATAATTAATTAACAAGTTAAAGCTTTAATTAACACGATGTACGTAATCTTTTATGATGTTGTAAAAGCAGCTGTTAATATATCATCACCATTTTTCGATTGCAAAAATAAAGTACATAATTATTTCACTTACCAAATTATTGATAATTCATCAAATAAACAATTTTGATTGCATGAATGATTGGCTGGTAGGAAGTTATTCTTAGCGACGGTAGCACGAAAGCATTATTTGTTGTGATAAGTATATTAGCGGACTAATAAAAAGGAATAAGAAGAGAGGGTGAAAGAGAAGTAGAAAGAAATATAAACTAAATATTAGTTAAAATAAGAAATGGAATGAAATAGGATGGAATAAATTGTTAGCAGGGATGAAAAGATATGAGAATACTAAACGCTTGTAGAATTACTGCAAAATTTTAGCAATGAATCAAACGGTGTAAACTTTTCGCCACTCATAGGGTAGAACAATAGAAGTTAAGACTTTCACTATTATGTTTTGAGAATTGAATTTTGAGCTTTTTATAAATCTCGTAGTCACAAATAATAAAATTAGAATGGCATGAAAGATATGTGAATTGAGTCATATTTCGAGCATTTTTTTTGAATGAATCATTTATCAGTAAGATGCATAATGTAAGTGTAGAAAATGTTGAATAGACTAAATAAGCATTTAAACGTGAACAGAGTAGCGGTTAAGTTATCATTTCAAAAGACAATTGAAGCTTTGACAATAATTTAACTACTCCAATAATTCATGTAAACTATCTGTTCAAATATTCTCTCTCTCTCTCTCTCTCTCCCAATTAATGATTTAATTACAGAAAAAACTTTCACGATCTTCAAATATTCAGTTGAATGCTTTTTATGTTTGCAATTTTTCAACTATTCAGTAAATGCTTTCGTGTTCATTTCTTTGTCGTTGTGACATCATTTTTCAGCCTGAATTATTCATCCTTTATAATCCAAATTATGATGGTACCACGGTATAAATGATATACTGTGCCATCAGGTACCATAATTTAAAATAATTTTCATTTGGTTCATTTATCGAAAAATATTGATTTTCCACAATTTTTTTCATTTTTTTACTTTATTTTTTGAAAACGTTAAATCTAAATTTAATGCTAATTTCTATTTGTTGAAACTTTAAGATTTCAAACGATTTCACAAATATCATTTAGTAATTGTAATTTCTCGATTTATGCAGTATCTTTAATTTTTGATAAGTTTCTTTAACGAAAAGAGTAAATAAAAAAGAGGTTAAAATAATATTCTTCTCATTTACCGTTAATGAATTGTTTGATATTCATTGTCTTACTCATTAATATTACAACTGATCGAATGTGAACCATTCACTTTAATATTTCAACTTTTGAAAAGTTTGATACGCATTATATCGGATCAGAAATCAGCAAAAATTAAGCTTCATCATTTTCAAATCTCTTTTTTTTCATAAACAGAGAAATGTGAGTGCTTGTTTATAATCAATCTCAAATAGCTTTCCTCCATCAATTCACACATATATATTTCTTCTATTAAATTCATCGAAAAAATTAATGAATCATTTTTTCTTGCTTCATTCTTATTTCACGAATAGAAATTATAATTATAAATTAAATTTTGATTGCATTAAAAGGTATTTTTTAATTAAAATAATATCTATCATTTAATTAGTAATGATAATTATTAATCATTACAATATTAGATTATCAGATTGTTGCTATATTTTTCTATAATTTAAATATTATGAATAACTTCAAAAAAAGGCTTATGATATTTTGCTATTTATTTGTATTCTAATTTTTGGCTTCGCAAATAACAACAAAATTTTTCTTTTATTTTTCTTTCTTTCTCTTCTTTTTTAGATTCAGTAGATTCGATAGATTCTATAGCTAAAACGTTAAGTTACAGAATCTAAAAGGTGGAAAGAATCAGCGGAAAATTAAAATATGTTCACAAATAGTAACGTGCATTTCTTCGCTATCACATAAATGATTAATATAAATAATCGTATTGATTCCTATTGCTTGCTTTTTTTGTAAAATTTTTACGATTACATTACTATCAGTTTTTTTTTCACAAAATTTTAGGAAAAGAAAAATGCAACTTTAATAAGTCACGTAGAAATTTGTCAAATTTTTCCTTCTTGACAGCGAATAATTACTTTTTAAAAGAAATTACGGTAATGTGGTGGTTCATTTTTGCAGGAAAAATATTATGCAAAAAAATAACTTTTGCTTTTCACATGTCAAAATTCAGTTATGGAAGAGTTAGAAAGAATCAATGAAACCAAAAAAAAAAACAGAAACTAAAATGACAATCTATTCGCCAGCCATATATAATCCAAAGGACGAAAAAGAAGTATTTTTTTGAGTTGTTGGCCTTTAAGGCCCATAAAAAATTCTAGGCATTATTTTTAAACATTCGTTTTAACTAATCCTTTAAATTTATTGCTTCCACTTTGCTGTGTTTTTTTCTTTCTTTTATAATTATATATATATATATATATATAGAGAGAGAGAGAGAGAGAGATTTTTTGAACTAATTGTTTTTAATAAATTTCTAATTTAAAAGTTTTTCACAAGGAAACATTCATTGCTTATATTTATGAATTATAAATTGTGCATTAATTAGTCACTTTTTTAATTAGATTTAAATTACTGTTATCTCTTTGATAGTAAAAATATAATTGATTTTTAAACAAATTTCATCATTTCACATTGTTGCATAATTTTTAAATTCAATCGTTTGAATATTTGATATATCAAAAGAAAAAAAAATGATGGATTTAATTTTTATCATTTAAATATTCGAGAAATGGACTAATTAGTTTATTTGAGAATACATTTATTATTATTATTGAGTATTTGATTACATTTGTGGAATAATTGCTTTGCGTCTTTTTTTATATATTAGAATGAATTGAAATTATTAAACTTGTGCGACTTTTATAATTATACTGTAATTCGAATTTCTTTTAATACAATCATACATTTGATTTCAGAGCAGCCAAGTATAGAAAGAACAATTTCACTTGGAGATCGTAGTAACGATTCATATAATAACTGTTGTATTGTGAAAGTCGAAGAAAGTGAAATAGTTACATAAAAGCGTAAAATAGACAAACGTTGCGACACAGCGTCGTACGAAACTGATAGCATTGACCGATTTTTCTATTTTCAACAATTTGAATATCAATAAGCATTGTATGGTCAGCAAATACTAAAGAAATAATACATTACTGCTCAAAAAGGTTAGTTTCATAAAACTTCTTTTACACCCACACCCACCCACACACATATAAATATTAAATGTAATAAATCATTTTTTTTGCTTCTTTTTCTTTCTGCACTTTTTTGCAACAATGTTGAATTTTTTTTATAAAAGTGAAATATATAGTTAGTTTATAATAATGATGGAATTAAATATCATTTCATCTCCCTTGCCAATTATTTCTAATTTTATTTGACAGATTTTAAATTTTATTTTTCTTTAAATGGGAGAAAGTGAAGAGTTTAAATATAGAGTTATTAGGATTTTTTTAGCTTAAAACAATTAGTTAAGAGCATTTATCTTATCTTCGAGAGGTTGTTCATTTCATTTTAGCGAAGCAATGGCATTTGGCCACATTATGTGGCCCACATTTCTTTGGGTCATATTAATATTGTCGTTTGCGCTACCTTCAACACTAGGCCAAACGTTGAATGAAGGAGAAAATTGGAGTGATTTTACTCCAAATTTATCCAGCGATTTGCGCTTGGAAGACATTATGCATCAAATCAATCGTTTCAAACGAGCAGCAAAGAGTTAGTTTGTTGTTGTCGTTGAATTTATGTAAAATCGAATAATACATTTAATAATTCGATAGTCGACTTCGTCTCTCTTAATAATTTAATCATTTCTATCTCTTTGCTTCCTTTCAATTTCTATTGACTTTTCTTATTTTTGAATGACCTATTTCAGGATTTTAGAACTGAGAAATATTTCATTAGTTTTTGCAAGTTAGTCATGGATTTTTTTCCAAATAAGTCGTCATCGTTGTTTTTTCCAAAGCGTAACCGTAGATTTCCAAATTTTTGTTAATTAAATTTAGCCAAATCATTCCAAGAATAATTATTCAATATTTAATTATTTCAAAGGTCTATTGAAATGAAATTAATATATAGTTCGAAAGGCGATGAATATATTAAATATCATCGATTTTATATGTGCAAAAATTCTTCAATCTATCATATTGGACATGAATTAATTTTTTCCTCCCGCACTAAGCATTTTTGCTGGAATGCCTAGAAGTATTTTGCTATTGCCAACCTTCCCTCTTATTAAATTTTTGTTTTAGATGGGATAATCTTTCTTACAGTCACAAAAAGTATAACTGAAATTTCTGTACTCCCAAAAGGATTTGATAACTCATTGCTTAAGTAATACATTTTTAGTGACCTTACATGAACATCCTACAGTACTTTCTGCAGCGTATTTTAATTCTAATTACATTTTGATATAATCCTTTGTTCATTGATGAAAATCAGCTTGCTTGGCTTCTATATCCCACTGCTATAAATACCTTCCAGGAGTTGAAAACTTTGACTTTAATTTTGAAAGAGATTATTTTGCTCGGAAAAAATATATAGAATTGTTACATCTTTGAACTGTTATTTACATTTATGATTCAATAAATGCAGGAATTAATTTAAATTAACATTTACAATATTTTAAATTTAGCTAATTTAACTATTTCAGTCTTATGGTGCTATAAGATTTAAAGGTGACTGAAAATTAGATGTTAGTATCATTTCCCTAAAAAAAAGTTCCCATGCGATTTTATCTCATTTATTGCTAACAATAGCGCATGTTGAAATTGAAATTCATGGAATTGATAAAAAGCAAATTTAATTTAAAATAATGCTGCAGCGGTATTTGCTTTATGCCATATTCATTATTGCAACCTGCTAAACTTTGCTGAAAGCTTTAAGTTTTTACCATAATGGACCACAAATCGATTGTTAGTCTTTTCTATTTTATTCTCACTTTTATTTTCCCATTGTATTTTGCAGCAAAGATATGTTACTAATATAATTCGTCATATATCAAAAATTTCTTCCATTTAATTTAATGCAAAAAAAATCCATTTTTTTCTTCCAAAATTTTAATTTTAATATTTTTTATTGGTTTTATGCAAAATTGGTTAACATTTTATCATGCGGATATATTAAATTTCCACAAAGTTGTAAATTAAGTAAATTGTAAATTTGCTATCATTAAGTTTTTAACCACTCGTACTGTATTGGAAGCAGAAGTCCAAAGCTAATTTTGTAACAAGAAAAAGCATTTTTAACCATTTTTGAATGTACAGGTTATCCTGGCAATATCATCAAAGAATGCAGTCTGCTGAGGAAGAGAAATCCCCGGAGAGGACCAGGTAAATAAGAGCGGTAAATGATGAAATAATCAAATTTTGTTATAATTCGGGGAATGAGCACATATGCGCTGATATTTTTGAGACATGACTATCACACAACTCACTTTTTCCTTTCACAACTGATATTGTGGTAGGGAGAAAAATCTTCCGAACACTCGATTGCCTCCATAACCATCAAATTTGATAATTTCGTTTTCAATTTCATTTCGGAATTGCTTAACTGATCCATCATTCTGATCTCATAGCACATTTCCCAATCCTCCTCTTAGATACGATTTATAAGCCTAAGAAAGTGTCCATGGGTGTCCATTGTAGTGACTGACTATATGACTGACTTTTCTGTCACTTACCTCTCAATTGATTTACGCTCTTCATATTGGACATTGCCGCCTTTCTTTTTTAAGTTCTCATTGCATCCAGTTTGCATCTATTCGGATTCCTATATTCTTCTTGCACATATCCATAAGCACCAACAACACCCTACTGCATGACTGTAAAAAACTTCTTGAATAAATTTTAATTATTTCATTAAGTGTCTGTTTGTTCCTTTTCTGAATACATGAGCTGATGATACTTCATTAATTAAAAAACTTGAAATTGTAAATTTAATGAATTGAGGATTAAAGTTAATTGAAGATATTACGGATTAAAAACTTTCTTAGGCAAAGGACACAGAAAATTACTTTGTTCGCTTTTCTGAAAATGAAAGAAATAACGACTGGAAATAATCAGAGAAAATTATAGGTATAATAAAATGTTTCAAATTTCTATAAAATTATTAATAGTTTAATTAGAGTCAGCTACAAATACAACGATCATTATTTAACAAATTTTAATTATTCTTATTAAATCAGTGTGATTTTGTTTCTGAATTGAAGTAGTCATAAAATAATTGAAAATCTTTTTAATTTTTAGTTAAATTTATTTTTATTTGATTACTCTATCAAATGTTAAATGAAATTTGGCTCAAATATGGCTTTCAGCCAAATTTGAAAATAAGCTGAATGAAAGAAATTTGTTATTCCTAAAGATATTTGAATCATGTTTGCTCTCGAAAAATCACTTTGGTCTTAAATAGAAGCCGAACTACGAGATTTTTATGTTAATTAAATTTGGGTTGCAATCAAGGCAACATATCTTCGGAACTTTCAATGCATTACTTAAAATTTTAAATTTATATTTATTCTCGTAAATGATAGCCCTAAAGCACTTCTTATAGCAATTGCCATAGAGGATTTTTTATAACCTTCGAAACTCGACGGTTGATAGCTTCGCAGCTGTCACAAACAGACTACTTCTGTTGTTTGTAAATATGGAACTGGACTATATTTATCTGCAAAGGTGAAGTTCGTTTTATCTTACAAATGATGAAAATTTGTGTGAGAAACACTGAACAGACTCTATTCTAATCTACGCAGAACATATTGCCTGTCATCATATATATATTTTTTAAATATAGCTTGAAGCTGCTTACGTTAAGTTTTCGTTTAATTTTGTTGATCATTATCCGAAAATGCTTATAGCATAGGCGAGTTTACTACAAAGTTGTAAACAACTCTTAGATCTTTGGTTTTAAAGTTATGATTATTTTTTTATGATCTAATTTTCAAATATTTGAGAACTATAATAAATTGAATTACGAAGTGAGTCAATTAATAAATATTATAATGTAAGTTTCTGAATTTGAAAGTTTCATCTAAATTTTCAATTTTAAAATCAATGAGTGAAAAAAAGAGGGAGAATGAAAACGATATGGAATGATTAACACCTTCAGATTTCTCGAACCATCAGCAATCGGGTGTCGTTCTATCAGTGAACGACTCTGGCCGATGTGTGGTCAGTGCTGACAAAGCTAGTCATTATTGCGGAGACATAGAAGGTTCGTACCACCTATCATACTAATTAAAGACAACGCCTTTTTTCTAATCCAAGAATGAATTAATGAGAATTTTTTAATGAATAAAATTAGTAAAGAAAAAGAGAAAGAATGAGAAATGAGAGAAAAAGAAAAATGAAAGCAATGGATCGCAGATTATATCATTCTCAAAATTAATAAATATTTTGAGTGATTGAAAAAATTCGAAAAATTTTTGCATAAATTCCGTTGTTGACAGAATATTAAAAACGTTTATTATTGTTTTAATTTTCTAATTATATTTTATAAAAAATTTCTTTGAATATTATAAATAAATTTATTAAAAAATTTTAATTTTCTTTCTATAAAATTGCAAAAAATTAAATGTCAAACAATTATTCTTTCAATTATTAAATTATTTAATAAATTTTTTAACAATTAAAATATTATAAGATAGAAATAATTTTTGTTATATAAAACTTACTTAATCTCTTTTTTTTGGTTGCCTAAAATTAAAATGAAATTTGTGCTAATTATACTAAATCATTAAATCAAATTATATTATCATTATCATTAAATCAAACTAAATATTCAAATTTGCTCTTAAGAATATTGGAAAAATTGGGTGTAGCGTTGATTGCTTCATTTTCTTATCAAACTTCAATTATTTTAATTCTTAATATCGGATGGTCTTATTTAACATTAGATATCTTGCATTGAAATCTATGTCATATTAATTTTAAAATAAGAATGAGAGAATATAATCAAATAAACTTGAAAGTTTTCAATTTTTATGTGACATAGAAAATTTTGTTTTCATTATATTATTTGGTAGCTTAATTTTTGAATTCTTTAAAATTCGAGAAGATTGGAAAATTGGCGTTGCATTGTGTTGTATGATTGTGGTGTGTGCTCAACAAATATCTTACATAATAAAATTATAATTTTATTTTCAAGTTTGTTTTTTCTATTTCTATATACCAATGATTTCAGAAATTGGCGTTGTAACATTATTGTTGTTGTTGTTGATGTTGTGAAGTTATGAAATGTGAAGTTTACAGCTTAACCGCCAGTCATTTCATTTTCTTATTCAAAATTTTATTATTTCCTTTGTATGCATACTTATTCTCTGCATGATTTTGTTTTTGGATTTGGAATTTTTAAGTAATTTAATTAAAGAAAGAAAATTGAGATTAGAATTAGACAAAAATTTGATTGTTTTAAGAAATGTTGTCTTATAATACCCATGGATTTTTATTGTTTTTGCTTGGAATGTTTAAAAGTATATGATATGATAATGGTTTGATTTACATAATAATTTCGTCATCCAGAATTTTGCTTCGAACGAAATAATTTATTAAAAAAGAAAATATCTAAATTATAAATATTTTGACCTTATGTCATTTCATTAGGTCTGATACTTATGAGCCAAGTACAAAGCGATTAAAATATGACATTTCAATGTTTTGTAATAAAAATATCTCGACATTTACCCTCAATAGAAAATCTGAAAACTTTGACTTCTTAATAATTACGACCCTTTATTATTTGGATTCTTTGAAAAGTTACAAAGAAACTCTTCTGATTATTTTGCTGTTTGATATCATTAGAATACGTGAGATTCCGTTTACTTTTTACATACTTATAAATGCGAGAATAATTAGGTTGAAATGAAATGAAATGAATAACAAATTTTATCACTTACTGTTTTATTCTTAAACTGTGGAAACGTGCATAACTGTGTTCACATATCATGCATGCGCTTAAAATTATATTAATTTGTGTGTGTTAATTGCACGCATACTTATCAAAAATTTATAATCACATGAAATGAAAAAAAATTTAGAGCATGTATTGCATGGATCTATTTCTTTCATTTCATTGTCGTGGATCAGTTGCTTAAAAGAATTTAGGAAGTTTGAATGGATTTAAATCACATACTATCTTAAAAAAAACGCCTTAAATTTTTTGGAAAAAAGGAAATGAATTTAATCCATTCAAATTACATACGTAATGCCTCGCACTGATTGCAATTTTTGATTTAAAAAATCGCAATTTTATAAGAATTTTGAAAGTGATAAAAATTTCTCAATTTTCATATGAGAAGAGATAAAACTCAAAAAAGTTACAATAGTAAAATTAGAATTTGCGAGCGGTGCGTATTTATCGCCATGAAGCAAGTCATTTCTGGAAGCACCAACAATATTGTCCAGGAAAAGATCGATTTTGAAAATTTTACAGTGACAGCGCCACCATTTCCTCCTCCTGACGCTGGTAATTGTCATTTTTCGGTTGAAAGTGGCCGTGAGATTTGTTGGCCACGATATGAGGATTTGGATACAACCTGTACCGATGTGGGAAGCGGTATGGTTTCCGCACCCGCTATCAAACATGCCGCGTTAGTTACATTATTATTTCTGCATTTACGTGAGAAAAAATATCAAACTATACTATTGTCTATTTCATTGTGCAATTCCACTAACCCAAAATGGAAACGATCACTTGAGATTTGCTAATGTTTTTGTTTGAATTTTAGTATTCGTGCTATGGCATTCGTACCGCCAGATAATCTCCGCCGCCTTGTGCGACAATACTATCGACAAAAAAGTTTACCTATCCCACAAAATACAACATTTAGCAAGAATTCATTCTTATTTGCATTATACGAATGCGATTACGGATATGAATTTGTGGACGAAGTGAATTCGATGTTTTGTAGTAATCGTCAATGGGTTATAACACCACCAAAATGTCGTGGAAAAGGTAGTTGCAAGCTTTTGATTTACCCGAAAAATTCTTTCTTAAACGTTAATTTGTTTGATAATTTGAGTGATGAAAATATGTCAGATAGTATATTGCAACAAAAATTTCTTTTATAGAAATTTGATTCAATAGTGTTTATAGAATATAAAAATCATATCACCTTATCATCCAATATTAAATTGTTAATATTTTATACCTCTTCGAAATATCTTCGGAGTTATCAATTTATATAAATTTATAAATTGTAAATTATAGAATTTTTCTTGTCCTTCTTTGTAAACATTCAATGATAATGTAAAATGCGCATTTGTTTTTATTGAAGGTTTATGTGAAGCGGACAATGGTGGATGTAGTCATTCTTGTCTATCAATTGATAATCGAGAAGTGGAATGTCGTTGTCCACATGGACTGGTTCTTGATAGCGATAAGAAAACTTGTATCAGTAAGTTTTTTTCGAAATTGTACCATTTCTTCATTATTGGAAAACAAATGTTAAATTTTTTTCAAAACACTTTTTGTTAATATATCATTTAAAAATTTTCCAAAAATGTTATCTGAAGCAAATACGAGAAATATCGTCCTAAAGGCATACGAAAGAATATTGATTGAATTTTTTCTTTTCCTTCAGAATCAAGCAGATTCAAATGCGTAATATTTTTTCAAATTAAAATTCGTTATTTATTTTAGAACCTATCCCAAAAGATCTGTGTCGCATTCTTAGTAGTTGTTCATGTGCGGCCATTAATGAAAATCAGTATTCATGTACCTGTCCAAAAGGAGAAAAATGCTTGCGTAAGAACTTCATTTTATTGAAAAGGAGCCTCTACAATACTTAAGCATATAATTTTTGCATGCTTGTTGAAAATAAATCGAACTCTTCCATAACATTCAATTCTATTCATCGTTAAATTCAGGAAAGAGAGATATTCACCTGTGATTGTGTAATTAAATAATTAAAATTGATAAATTATAGCAATTGAATTTGATTTTTCTAAAAAATTTCAATTCAGTACTTCGTGGTCAACCAAAGATTTATATTGATCCAGCAGCACCATATGAAATAGCACCAGGTGGAAATTTAAACATTACATGCTCTGCAGTTTCATATCCATTCCCGCAAATATTTTGGCAACGGTATGTTATCTTAAAATTTTAACAATTAATTTTAAATTTAGAAATTGTCTCAATTTACTCAGTGCAATATACTGTCCACTAAAGGCAATATATCATATTCATTTTCAAATAAACTTTTACAGTTAACTTTGACAAATTTTCAGTTTTATCTATTTTTTGATGAAGAAATTGATAGTTTGATCATATCATATGACCACAATGTATTCAGTAGAAACTATTTTCTTAATTTATTTAAACTTTCTTGGAATATAGAATATTCAGTTGATCTTTTTAGATATTGCAACATTGTTTTTTTCTTGTAGTGGTGATGAGACAGTTGATGTGGCACCGGTAAAACCAGGAACTGTTAAAAGTGAACAAATTTTGATCATCAAAGAGCTCTATAAAAACACTCAATTCACTTGTCATGCGAATAATTCACTGGGAAAAGCGGAACGTACAATTGAAATTGTTGTCACCGGTAGGTTTCATTTTACCGCTTCATTCAATCTGACAGCAACTTCATCTTATTACAATAATTTTATTGTTGCACTGTAATAAAAATATCATATTCTTGAATTGTTTCTTAAGTTATAAATTTGTTGCAATCACTAAATGACATTAAATCATCTTTTGAAATTATTTATTGAAAAATAACTCTCACCATTTGAATATCGCAAGTTCAAATATATTTTGAAACAAGCTTTAGCATATCTTGAAGATTATTTCTACCCAAAACAAAACTTTCTACAATACAATTTTTATCCTGCTCTTTTTGCATATTATTTCTCGGTGATCTTTGCCCTATATGATATCTTGGAAGATATTTACGATACATTTCATATATTATCACTGCTATTTAATCGATAATTTGTTAATAAGGTCCCGGATCAGCGCCAATAGTTCGCGGTATTGATGCTGGCCGTTCATCAGTTTATGTTCGATGGGATCCACCGGTAATTATGAATCGACCGGTTACTTCATATACAGCATATTACACTAATAATGCTAACCAACCAATCAAAAATTGGAAAAAAGTAAACATTGATGGTAAGTTTATTTACAATTGTGTTAAAGATATTAATATAAAAACTGAAAAATATGAAATAAATCGAATTATTAAATTATCTTTAGTAAGAGATAGTTAAAGATATTAAATTTAAAAACGTTTGCAATAAGTTAAAAAATGCAACACTTTTTAATTACTTCTTTTCATACAGAACCAAATCGTGAGGTAACGATCAAAGACCTTCGGCCAAACACGCAATATTTCATTCGCTTACGAGCAAACGATAAACTAGGCCCAGGACGTCTCTCAAATCCAGTTTCAGTTAACACACGTAAGCCAGGTAAAGAAAAAAATATGTTGGACAATTGGAGCAACTAAAAATATGAAAAAATTAAAAATTCGAAAGTTTGACTTAATAATTTCAGCACATTGATTTTATCATTGATTTTATCATGAAACTTGATATCGGTTTTAGTTTTGATAACCCAAACAATTTCTATAAAACTAACCATTTAAACTGTCCAATTTTTATCACATTTAGCAATTAATTATCTAATGAAATAACACGTAAGTCAAATACAGTTTGATATCATAAAATGCTAATGCTTTACAACAAAAAATATGCGCTATTACATACTCAGTGAGTGATTAGAAGATCTTGATGATAGGCATTCACATTTATTATCATTTATTAGATTCTGTTAAGACAGACAATTCACCATTTTCATCAAAGATTAATTCAATGAATAAAAATACAAAAGATTTAAAATTAGAGTAAACACTTCGGGAATTTCAGCAGTGCGACCGCAACTATTTATTAAAGAAGGTGACACGATACACGTCGGTCCATTGCAACCATTCAGTATCACTTGTAATGTAACACGTGGAGATCCATTACCTAAAATAGCTTGGTATACAAGGTATATCGATTGCTATTGAAGTAAAATTGTATTAAGTTAAGGTATATGAAATAAAATAAAATCCCAATCCTTTTATTATTTCTTTAAGTGAATATTTTAGGCTTGAGAAAAAATAGAGCAACATTATTAAAATTAACGTTAAGACTATCAATTCTTTTAACTTTTATTTTAAAAATTTCAAGATAAGGTTTTAATAAAAATCTTTAGTTCCTCAGATTCATCTGAATTTAACCGAGAAATCGATATGACCAGCTTACTTTACAGAGCACGGCCAATCAATAAACCGCAAAAGAAAAAATTTATAGCAATGGAGCACGGTGGTCTCTATGAAAGTACAAATTTCTCATGTGTTGCTGAAAATGAAGCTGGTCGAACAACAAAAAGAATACAAGTTATTGTAACTGGTAAGAGATTCTTCTTAAAATTAAATTGGAGCAAAAAAAATTCAAGTAAAAATATTTACCTTATGAATAATAATAACATGTTTTTCACTTAATTTGTTATCATACTATATAGGACCAACATCTCCGGAGCGGATACGGTATCAAATTCATGGTAATAATGTTGATTTGCAATGGGAACCACCGCGTATTACGAATGGACCATTGAAAGATTATGATGTTAGTATTTTTATGATAATAGAATCATATACGATATCAAATTCAGTTTAATTAATTTGAAAAAATGCAATAAAATCCTTGAAAAATGCTCTCAGAAACTGTAGTCTTTAACAATGAAATAATATTTGAATTAATTTTCAAATGCAAGATTGAAATTTATTCATATTTTATTAATTTAATTAATTTGAAAAAAAAATGAAATAAATCTTTTTTAGCTTAATCATATTAAAAATTACAGGTATTATATACAGATAATCCGAATTTATCAGATGAACATTGGGAAATTGCAAAAGCTGGAAGTGCAGATGCGCGTTCTTTACGGATACCAAATTTGAAAGAAAAAGAAGATTACACATTTAAAATACGAGCACATAATGAATTGGGCCCTGGCCTTTTTAGTGATAAATTTACTCTAACAACTTGGCTTGCTGGTTTGTATGAAATATTTGCTCTCTTTTCAATTTTTATCATTTTCCAGTAAGAAAAGTGAAAAAGAAAAAAGAAATAAAAATGAAATTAACAAGAAAAAAAGGGCTTGGTATCTAAATTATAGCTCGTCCGCCAAATGTAACAATCACACCTGCTGAAAAGATAGTGAAAGAACCAAGTAATGAGGAGCTTATTTTTGAATGTGAAGCAAATGGTGTACCAAGACCAAAAATACTGTGGCTATGGAGCGGTAGCTTAGTTGAAGATGGAAAGGTTAGTTTTCAATTGTAAGTACTTGATTATGTTGCAACAATTTATTTAATCACTTATCAGTTTTCTGGATCTAAAGATAAGTCGATGGTGATGCATTTCCTTAACTAGTGCATCAGAATTCTTAGAATATTATGGCATCAGATATGCAGCAAGTTTTGCAGAATGAATTTCGCATTTATGATGTGACACGGCCAGATGCGCAAGATCGATCTAACAGTAAGTTAATTTCTGAGAAAACGAATCGGGCTGGAGTAGCTACATGTCAAGCTGTCAACGCTCATGGTTTGTTGTTTTTCTTTTTTATTGTAGTAAGTATTCTGAAGATTTTTTTTTAATTATAATTTGTTTTTAATCCTTTTAAGAAGTCCTGAAAACTTCTGTGATATTGCAATTTATGTGCAGTAATGATTGCTTTAACATAAATATAAAGGACTAAAATATTTCCGAAAATAAAAGCGACAATTTTTTATTTTTAATTACATCATTTTTTCATAGGTTCGGATGAAAAACATACTGAAGTGAAGATTCTTGGACCTGGAAGTCCACCACGTGACATTGCAACAGCTCCATTTGAAAATGGCTTTAAAGTCTCCTGGAATCCACCAAAATATCCAAACGGAAAGATTACCGTAAGCATATAATCTTTTCTTCCAATTTCCCAAAATTTTAAAAAATTTATAGAAGCAAATTAATCTAACATTTGTTAAGAAAGAACATTGTTTTTTAACTGTAATTACAATATAATTTATTAAGCGTTTATTTTAAGCGAATAAGCACGAATGCAATTAAGTAATAACATTCTAAGTTATTTTATCGAAATTCGAATAATTATAAATTTCAGCACTATACTGTTTACTATACAAAAAATCCAGACGATAATTTGGGAGACTGGGAGAAGATAACTGTTGAAGGTGATCAGCTTGATGTAGAAGTACCAGCAGATGACGATACACCATATAATGTTCGTGTACAAGCTGCTACTAAGGATGGTCCTGGTATAATATCAGAAGCTTATGATGTCACTACTGGCAAAAAACGTCAGTTTTTTTAAAAATTTTTTTGAAAATAAAATTTGAAAGGCTGAATGAAAAATATATTCAATAGTTTAATGTTGCAAATAAATTTAAAAAAGTTTGAAATAATTGTTTGTCAACTTTGACCTTAAGCTAACAATTAATATGATTTCGAAGTAATAACAAAGATTTGTTATGTTGTTATAAGTATAAATAAAAGGTAAAAATGATAATACTTTTATCAGCTTACTTTTATCTTACATGGAAAATATCACTGCCGGTATTTGTTTTTTTTAGCAGTTCCGCTTTCTGTAAAATTAGTCATATTGGATCCTCAAGTAGGGGAAAGCGATACAGAAACAATCGTGGAGCCATTACAGACAATTACATTTAAATGTGATGCAAAAGGAAGACCAGCACCTCAAATTTCATACACTTGGCTACCGTTCAATGAAACCGAAAGTGGACAGGTGTGTTTGTGTCATATTCATGTAATGTGTATTTATAAGTACGCTTGCACAAATCTCTTGGTTTTGCAAGTCAAGCTAAAATTGGATTTTTAAGTGAACAAAAATACGACATAAATTTTGGGTATAAGTAATGATTTTTTATAACATTAGCTGGCATTACAGATCATAATCTGATAATAGCCGTATCATATTATTTATTTATAATTTATCGAAGATTTTCAATTCAAAACAAATAGAAGCCGAGAACTTTTTCAGGAGCCAATACCAATTCCGGCTTATTCGGACTCAGAAGAAGCCCACCTGTACCATTCGTTGGATGTGAATACTGATACAGCTACAAAGCGTGCTCTAATGTGCACTGCTCGAAATGCTGATGGTTCTATGAGTGATCGACATATTTTTAATGTTCTAAGTGCGTTTTCATATTTATACCTATAAATGCTTTAAGAAATTTGAATGAAATTTTAATCCTTTATATAAGAGTTAAATGAAACAAGTCTTAATTAATTGTGAAATGATTCACTGCTGTACAATTGCTATGAGAAACAGAATGAAGTCTGAAAATTAAAATAGGAATAGACATAATATGAAAATATTTCAGAACCGGGTAGTCCACCAGAAAATATTCAAGCAATCATCGATCCGGATAATCGTGTCACAATATCCTGGCAAGAACCAAAATATCCCAATGGACCTATTACAGTTCGTATGACTTCACATTGCAAAATAATTCTCAGCCATTTGAAAATTTCTTTCAAATATTTACGAAATCAAAATATCTATTAGAAATTATTCGAACTTATTTCATTATTGACAGAATTTTTTCTAGACTACAAAACTATTTCGTGAACAGTTGCTGCTATTTATTAAATAAAATTTGGCCCCTTTGATTACTTTGAAAAAGGACTATATTTTAAAAACTTATTGAGGAAGATAATTGCAGAGTTTCTTTATAATGTTTTTAATCTTTTGCTTTTATAATATTCGAAAAGAATTTATCGTAAGCAATTTTGCAAATAAACTTCTTAATCGGTTTTTGGAAGAATTCGCATTACTTCAATCTTTCCTTAGAAATATAAAGTATATGTGACACCTGATCCGGCCGAGCCGATTAGTCAGTGGCGCGTCTATGATGCTGAACCGAGTGAAACCCCAAATTTGGTATTGGAACGTGGTCAGTTACAACCAGAAACTCCTTATTATGTAAAAGTTGTAGCAGTCGGTGAAGAGGGTGATGGTTTACAATCTGATATTGTTCCATTCGAAACAGTCAGTGGAGGTACCTCGATTTTTTTTACTTACCGCATTATTTTGTCCTACCAAATCCTGTACATTTCATTATTACAGAAAAAGAATAATGAGAAACTTTCAAGAGATGATTTATATTCAGCTAAATTTATCAATTAAGAAGTTGAAGAAAAACCTGTTATTACTTCTTGTTCAATTAATTTATTCAACTCATAATCGGAATTTTAACACATTATTAAATTCTGCTCAATCACTCAATTTTTCAGCACCAATTGATACACCAAAGGATGTATTAGCAACAGTGGAGCAAGATAACACCATGAATATATCTTGGACGGGGCCAAGTATTCCTAATGGTCCAATTCAGGCAAGTTTACCTGAACCGCAACAATATGGCATTTAATATGTGAAAGTAACGAATAATAGCATTTCAACCGGTTGTGAAGATTTTTCGAAAAATAGTAACTAAAAATTTTTCGCTTCTAGGCTTACACGGTTTATTTCACGCCATTAGATGAACAACAAACATCAGATGATGCTTATAAACAATGGGATAAAATTGTTGTTCCAAGTAACGATAGTTTTGGAACTTTACGATTGAATAAAGAAACTTACGACATTTTGCCTAATCAATTATATCGAATTCGGATTTCTGCAACTAACGATTTATCGGAGGGTCCAGCAAGTGAACCTATAACAGTCAGAACTGAAAGTGGAGGTCAAACTGCTATACTATCTTTTCACACTTTCTTTAATTTGCAATTTTTTATGAATTAGACATCTTATTTAAATTTGGAAATTTAAATTATAAGTTCAAATTGTTGCTTGTAGAAAAAAAAGTTCCATTCTTTTTATGTTTACATTACACCTTAAATAAAATTTTTGTCTGTTTCAGAAACACCTCCGGTAATACGTCTGGAACCAGCTGATAATCCAGCTACCGTACCACCGCATGGTTCACTATCTGTACGATGCACCGCAACAGGAATACCGCCACCTACCATAACGTGGATTATTGGTACAAATGCTAGTGACGTCATACGTGGACCAATCCTTCAATTAACTGATTTGCGGAAAGATGAAACTGCAACTTGTAAAGCTGAAAATAATGCTGGACAAGTTCAAGAAGTATTACAAATACTTGTAGCCGGTTTGTTTTTTCTAACATTTTGTTTTCAACATATATATAAATTTTAAGCTTAAATGACAGCTCTGCTTGTTTCCTAAACTTTGATACTGAGCTTTCCGTGTATTTTTTGGTATTTGATCTTTATAAATTTTAGGACCTGGAACTCCACCAAACGAAATTGTCGCTTTTCCGCAAGAAAATCAAGAAGCAAACATAGAGTGGACAACACCAGATAGTCCAAATGGAAAAATAACTGAATACGTTATTCATTATGGAGAAGTTCCTGATGGTTAGCAATGAATTAATTTCGCTTTTGCAAAATTGCATAATGTTCAATCGTTATTGCGAGCAATGCTTTCACTAATTCGTAGCATTATTAAATTTATTTCAGCTGATAGCTAAAAATTAGTTTAATGAGATTGTATTTTGTTTTATTATTGCCGTAGTTGGAAATAAAATCAATAATAATTTAGTCGAAGTATTTGATATAAATCATTAACTAAAGTTAAATTCATAATGTTTTGAAGTGGAATTTTCTCTAACTCTCTATTAGAATACTTGAAATTCAAAAGCACTTTTTATTTTCCCTCTTACAGGAGAAGCTCTTCCACGTACATGGGAGACTGTACGAGTATCAGCTGATGAACCACAAAAGTATCATCTTGCTGGATTAAATCCAAAATCTAATTATGCAATTCGATTACAAGCGATCAGTGATCGTGGGCCGGGTGTTTTATCGGATCCCATCAGACTAACAACATTACCATTAGGTTATTCTAACAGATTTTTTGCTTAAACTTTCAAATCTTTAAAATTCATAGGAAATTAAATAAATATTCAAGAGCTTCGATTTCAATTTTAATTTACCTTTTACTTATTGCTGTAAAGATCGAATTTAGCTCCTGCTGTTGTCCAACCAGCTGATATAAAAGTCCATGAAAATAATACCGTTGCTATCCAATTCGATGCACCGAAAGATCCCGAAGATCCAGAAAAACCCATTAAGGTTACACAATATTAATTGACAATATGATAAAAGAATTCATTTTTTCATTAATTTCCTCAATTTCTTAAGTGATTTACTCAATTTTCAATTAAGTTCACTTCTATATGGTTGCACAATTATTGTCAGTTGTTGATATCAATATCAAAAGCATCGAAATATGAGTATATTTAGGAATTTGTTATCCATTACACGGACGATGATCCAATGAGTGAAAATGCGCAATGGGAAGAAATGTTGTGGACAGAACCGGATGATGACTTTTCCGTTAACATTCCGATTGGCGGCGAACACTTCAAACCTGACACCAAATATTCAATCAAAGTTAGATTATTTCTGATTTACAAATGCTGCAACTCCTAGCTCCTCAATGGACAAAATAAGTCTTATTTGAGAAAAAAGCAAACTTCGATAAAATCTGATCATATTTGATTTATTGCAGGTAACAGCTCGCGGTGAAATCGATAGTCCACCGTCGGAACCGATTGTCTTTCAGACTGGAGATGGAAGTTTGTATTTCATTTATTAGCAATAGTTAAATGAGGCTGGATACCTGAAAGCTGCAAAATTTTTCAGCTAAATTCTGAAATTCTCTTGTCTCTTATTGTGTAAATTTCCAGATTCGAAATTGGGCATTCTTATTTAACACTATACGGTTATTCCGTTATCTAGTACAGTTCAACATAAATACATCGATAAACTCTAACAGAATGCATTCCAGTTATACCGCCGGAGAAACCACAGATTAATGCTGGTGTGCCAGACAATGTGATACATGTACCAGCTGGTAGTGATTATGCAGTTGACTGTTCATCAAACGGATTCCCTCCACCAAAAGTTTTTTGGGTTGATGAAGATGAGCAGGTAGGATACATAATTTTCCTTTTTTTACTTCCGTTTCCACTATTTCTTTTTAACTTCTCCTTTCTAAATTCAACTCAAAAAGAGTGAAAATCACAACGAAAAACAATAAAAGTTGAAATCATATGGTATTACAATAGAAAGGAAATATAAATTTTTGTATTGTGTTTGTTTTAGATTCTTTGAAAAATAATTAGATTATCTTAAGAGAGTATTTAATTTTAGATAATTGCATTTTCTATTTGAACTTTTATATTTCATTTAAAAATTTTTGAAATTAATTACAAAGTAGAATTTGTTTGCATTAAAATAAACTTTTGGGAATCCTTCGATATTTATGTGATTTTTACATAAAATTAATTTTTCATTAATAAAATATAAATTAATGACAATTTCTGCAAATATTTTAATGCATCATTTCATGCTGCCAATTTTTCTCATATACTTTTTGAAAGTATTTCTTCAGCCTCTTAGTGATGGACCAGTGCTAAGATTACAAGATGTGAAAGAGACGATAAAAATAAAATGTGTGGCGGAAAATGATGGCGGTCGAGCTGAAACTCCTTTTGAAATTTTCGTTACTGGTTCGTTTTAATAATTTCTTTCTGTTCAGTACTTTAACAATCATAGATTGCATTACCGGAGATCATTTTAACTGAAGACAGGCCTTGAAATTGTAAAACTGCAAAAAAAACTACAGCCAAATGCATTATGTGGTCATTTCAAAAATGACTTGCAAAACATATATTAACATTTTTTATTTAAAAATTCTATAATATTTATTTTACGTTGAAGAAATTTTAATGTTTAATAGTTTTTATTTCATCTTACTATATTAAGTAAAAGAATTTTTGTTCCAAATTTCAGGTCCCGGGAATGCACCAAGCAATATTCGGTTGAATTCGATAAAACCCCGTACAATCAATATTTGTTGGGATCCACCAACAATACCTAACGGGAATATCACTCGTTATATTATTTATTACACTCCATTGGATGATCAGGTGAGGCTTATTTTGCAACACCGGAATAGAACTTGAAAATGAAATTAAAATTTTCAATTAAATGTGAAATTGTATCCATAAGTTGTTAGCATTCTAGCACTAATTTTTTGAAAAAATATACCTTTTTGTTCATTTTCAGAATATAATTTATCAGATGGGACAAATTCCAAAGAAGCCAATAACCGAATGGATGACATTTCACAAAGATAGCGAACCATTGATTGGAGAGCCGCAGAAACATAATCTAACAGATTTCATTGAACCGGATACTGCTTATGCTGTGGTACTACAAGCTGTCAATCAGGATGGACCCGGACCGTATTCCGAGCAGCATACTATCCGAACGATGTCACGCGGTTTGCATTCCCATAATTTCTAAGAAATTGGAAAAAGAAATTCGCCGAATGAAACTTTCATCATTTCCTTTTAAATATTAGATTACACCGTGAAATCGAAATGGATTACATCGGATCGGTGGTGCAAATGTACGGTTTAAAATGTGTAGTTAGGTTTTTGGATAGGTATCTAAATATTTAGGATTAAAAGAAAAGAAAGAGAATATATTTTTATAAGATATATTATTACATGCATTTGTTATTCCAGCTCGAGAGGGTCCACCGCTTGATCTAAGAGTTGAACCAGAAAGTCAACGATCAGCAAATGTTGAATGGCGCAAGCCAATTACTAGTGAACAACCACCAATTGGCTATGAATTGTACTACATTAAAGCAGATGCTAAAATCTGGGAGGATGATTTAGCGAGCATCGATGAGTGGTATGCTTTTCGATTGTTAGAAACTGAAAAAGGATAAGATGATATGTTAAGCTTTTTAAAATAGGTTCCGTTATGACAAGGATATTTCAAAATTAAACTGATAAGATTGGTTTTATAGAGTGATTACCTAATCATTCAATGAGATACGATTGAATTATAACAATGCAAATTAATGAGAGGAATGGGACCACAAATGGAACCTTAAAACAATTTATAAGATATTCCTTTCAGTAATAGTGCGTGATTTATTCTTGAGCGCTTTTCGATTAATAATTTAGGCTTTGTCTACATTTCAGTAAGGATTTTATCGTTAAGAAATATACTTAGAGACTAATAAATATAAGACAACGATGAGATAATTTAAAAACAGTGGATAAGTTGTGAGTAGTAAGTGACAAATAATTTACTTTTTGCATCTGTGGAATAACTTTATTTTCTCCTCTTCTCTAAAAATTATCATTATTTTTATAACCAACAAATTTTGGTTAAATTGTATTTATCTGATGTTTGCCAGATGACTAATTTTGTAAGTAAGAATAAATGCGATTATAAATTTTATATAATCGCGTACCTTTTCATTCTAGGAGCATGTTACCAATAAGAGAAAAAAAGGAAGATAAGCTGCACTATAAGATTGATGGATTACTTGAACCGGATACAGAATACGTGTTCCGCATTCGTGCTGTTTACTCGGATGGAGCAGGAGTATTTTCTGACGCTTGTATCACCAAAACACTTCCAGATGGCTTGTTTTTCTGATTTCTATTCTTTTATTAACCACTTAGAAATTACTTATTTAAATTGCTAATCATAACATTAAGTGGGCCTTCAAGAGTTAATTAATTAAAAATTTGTTCAAGTTAAAGAAAATGAAAACTAAAAAAGTAGGAATTAAAAATCGAATGTAAGTATAGAGTCAATTTTTATTTTATACGAATATGAATTTCTGTACCACTCAAACAAACATTGATTGAACTTCAGGTAATGCTCCGTATATTCTCATTTCGAACGGTGATCATGGCGTGGAAGGTGAAACGGAAATAACAATCCTTCCAGGATCAGCGCTTGATCTCTCATGTAATGCAACAGGAGAGCCTCGTCCGTCAGTTAAATGGATCCGCTCCGGATACTATCCTATTGATCCTGCTTGGGTTTCGTGGTTTTGAAAATTGCGACATTGCTAAATCTTTTTTAAATGAGTCAAATTACCATAATGTTTTAATCTTTTTCATTATGTCTCATAAGCAGAATAACCGAGTAGATTCTCGAAAGAGGTTATCATTTAAATATATTTAGATATACATATCATTTAAATATAGATATTATTTAGATATACATATCATTTAGATATCGATATTATTTGCATATACATATCATTTAAATATAGATATTTAGATATACATATCATTTAGATATCGATATTATTTACATATACATATCATTTAAATATAGATATTTAGATATACATATCATTTAAATATAGATATTATTTGGATATACATATCATTTAGATATCGATATTATTTAGATATACATATCATTTAAATACAGATATTATTTAGATATACATATCATTTAGATATCGATATTATTTACATATACATATCATTTAAATATAGATATTTAGATATACATATCATTTAAATATAGATATTATTTGGATATACATATCATTTAGATATCGATATTATTTAGATATACATATCATTTAAATATAGATATTATTTGGATATACATATCATTTAAATATAGATATTATTTGGAAATATAGAACAACACAATCATTTTAATTCATCGAATAATCCGTGCGTTAATGATCCAAACTTTTTATGCGCAGTTGAGAAATGCGCAGTGAATATCTAATTATGCTTTCATTATTTATTTAATACTTTTACAATTTTTGCTCCATCATTCTCTTATACTGCCTGATCGTTAACATTTTAAAGTCCGGAAATACAAGTAGTACAACCAAATTCATTTTTCATGACCAATCCATTCAAAATATTTCAAAAGTTTTTCTGACTTGCTTAAGTAATTTAGCATAAAATGCTGGACTTTTTTATTTGGGTGTCTATTTAGTGAATTTAATCGCTTTTTAATCGGATTACTTCTATTTAATATTTTTTGGAAAAAAAAAATCAATATATATCTGGAGTATTTAGGTAAAAGCAGACGAGAAGTATGCCATATGGTTTCTAAAAGTATCAAACATTACCGAAGATACATCTTTCAACTGCGTTGCACAAAGTCCGCTCGGTTTTGCCAATTGGACAATCAGTGTTCGTCTTGTTCCAGGTGCAAAAACATTTTAATCTTTTCAATCTTCTTAGCTATGCATTAAAATATATCTCTAATCAAAGCTTCAAATTTGGTGATAAAATTTGAAACTAAATCTTAATTCTCTATTTAAGCTAAATCTTAATTCTCTGTCATTTGCTACTTTATTATCAGAAACTTTGAAGAAATGTTATGCTATTAATTTCCATTTAGTCACTATCAGCTGACTTTTAAAGAAGAATTTTGAGAAGCGGCTTAATTGATAAAGATAATGCATTTTCTATTTTAATGAATATTCAAGTTAGGTATAAATATCATCACGATTTTTGCAGATCTTGAGCCGACTTGGAAAAATAATTTTGTAATTCCAAAGAATGAGGATGGTGACGTAGTGGTACACTTTACAGATGACTTGCCGGATTATCTTAAGGGACCTGTAAGCATTTTTCTAAATACGATCTGTATGAATGGTTTTTTGAAATCTTTCGTTTTACAAATAAAGAGCATAAATTTTGGGTGATTTATGAGGTTTTAGCACAATCCTTGGAATATTTATTGGACTGATAATCCATCAAAGCCTTTGGAAAGTTGGCATCTAATTCCATCTGACGATCGTCCCTTAGACCGTGTAGTTATCCCAGAAATGGAACCAGGTGCTAAATATCATTTAGTGATCGAGCAACCATCAGCTGGAATCAAAACACCCATCTTCGATATCATGACTCCAAGTAATTTTTCATCTTTTAAAGACTCAAAGAAAAAAGAAAAAAATTAGACTATCTTATTTATTTGAACTTACTTATTTCGATAAGAGGAAAGCGTAAATGGAATAATTTACTCCAAAAGTTTGAGAATCCTTATATCTTCTTTCAGTTACAATTGTCTCTAAGAAAGATAATTTCATTTTAACTCAGTAGAATGAAGTTCATGAAATTTCCAAAAAGCAACTTGAAGTATCATCGTAAAAAATGTAAAATTTGATGACGAATCATACTTTTGTTGCAAATTTCAGAACCAGCTAGCGATATACGTGTTGGAACTGATATCAACAGTGAAACAGTGCTTGATTTTAAGCCAGCGCTTGCTACAGAACCGATCAAGGTTGGAATTATCAGAAAGAGAGAATATAGAAAAGAAAATTTCAAGCTTCATATAATAATCTAAAAGCTGCAACAGTCTGCAATAAAGTATTTCAATGTTGGGCATAATATATCTTTGTGATTAATTTTCATTCTAAAATTTTTTAAATGTCCCACCTTGTCGAAAATACTAAACTAGCCTATATGGCCTGTTATGAGATTAAAGTCTTCGATGCAGTGAAATTTTCAGAAATACATTATCAAATACTGGCCGGCTAATAATCCATCAGCTGTAATGTACATGGAAACACCAGTTAATGTTACTGATAAGATTGTGCTAGATGGCTTACAACCTGATACTGAATACAATTTTATGGTAAGCATTCCCAATCTTTTTCATATGTCAGTTATTCGAAGTTCCAAAAATTGCCTTATTCGAACAAAATTAATGATAAACTTATGGCAAACATTACATCCATCACAGACAAATGTTTTGTTCTGTTATTTCAAATTAACTTTCTTACAAATAGTTTCCAATTTCAAAATTAATTTAAGGTTATTGCAAAATTTGATGAGGGTGATAATCTTGCGAGTGAACCAGCTGAAATACGTACACCTTCCGCAGGTTGTCACTTTTCCTTTCCTAATGAAATATTTTTCATATGTGAATTTTCCAAAAATGCAAAAGCTTCTGAACAGCAAACTTGATGCAAAAAAAATCGAAATTGAAATCGATATTTTTTTACTCCTTAAGTTTTATGGATGAGATGGCAAATTTGATTATTACAGATATTCAATGCCATTGCGCACATGCCTGTATGTTTGAGGAGGATGAGGAAGGAGTGATAGGAGCATCATGCTATTGCCACAATGGTTTCAAGCTTGCTGATGATAAGAAATCATGCGAACCTATCGAAGAAGATGAAGAAGCTGGCGTTATTCAAGTAATTGCTTTCGCACTTTATTTTAAAAATTTAAAGAATTTAAACATATTCGAAGTCTCTAAATATCAAAAGCAAATTTCTAATGATTTAAACATTCAATGATTTTATTAGAAATAATTAACGGTTCACTATTTCAATTTATCAGAAATATCTCTTAGAATTTATGCCGAATATGTCCCTAAAGCAATGAACTTCAAATTTCGAAAAAAACATTTCAGGTTACTCCGCCAACATTGATTCCTGAATCCGAGTATCCGAAGGAACTGTCTACCATACCAACTCCTTTTGAGGAGTTAATACCGAAGTTGGAGAAAGAAAAAGAATCAACTCAGCCCTCGCTAATCGATGAGTTCGGACAAACTGCTAAACAGGATGTGCAAGCGATAACTACCGATATAAGTAGGGAATTGGTCAGCACCGGCATTTCGCCACTGCCAACGGATTCTAGTCAGCAAGATCGTGTTTTGCCACAAATCGTTGGTTTTGATGGTGAACCTTTGCCTACCAATGAATACGGGCAGGCAATGGATAATCTTGGAAATGCAATTGTGTGGGATGATGAAGGTCGACCGATGGGCCCAAATGGTATACCTTTACGTCGCAACTACAAAGGAGAATATATATATCCTGTTATTGGGAAAGATGGACAACCGTTACCCACTGATATTAACATGAAACCAATTTATCCCGTTGTTGGACCGGATGATCAGCCGATCCGGAAAAATGAAGAAGGTCTGCCTATCGATCAACACGGCCAAATAATTCCAACAGATACCGCCGGACGCCCAATAAGTGTTGATGGTTCACCTTATCCAACTGATGAACAGGGTCGATACATAGTATCGGAAACCGTCATTCAACAAACTGCACCAACGGATGAACTTGGACGTGTTATTTATCCAGTTTTTTATCCAGATGGAGTATTATTAGCAACAGTGGAGGATGGTCGATTTGTTAACGAATATGGACAACTCATTCCAACTAATAATGCCGGTTTGCCGGTTAATGAGAAAAATGAGGTGCTACTGAAGGATTCTGATGGGAATTTCATTTATGTAGGCAATTATGTCTTGCCGACTGATTCTGATGGGCAGCCTGTGAAGATACAATATAACGGAAAACTTCTTAAGAGCGACAAAGCGGGGCGTATCATTGGCCCTGATGGACAATTAGTACCGGTAAATAAAGACGGACATCCGGTCGATGAGTCTAATACTGTACTTCCAACGACTTCGAATGGCATATTTATGCTACCAATAACTGATGGAAGGAGTACGGAAGCTCCGGAAACAGAACAGAGAAAGGGAGTGGAACGACCACTTCATATCATTGGGCCTAGTGGTTATTTGCTACCAACCATGGATGATGGAACTGTTTTAGATCCTTTTGGAAAGGCTATACCTACGAATAACATAGGACAACCAGTGAATTATCGTAATGAACCGTTACCAACTAATAGTGAGGGGCAGGCTATCTATCCGAAAGATGGTTTGGACTGTCCAATACCACCAACTGATCAACATGGAAGACCGATTTATTCAGTGGTTGGACCAAATGGCAGGTTGCTTCCTCGAAATAATGATGGAATTGTAGTCGATCCGGACGGTAACTTGCTTCCAACTAACGCAGCCGGAGTACCTATCGATAAAAAAGGGCGGCCACTACCCAGTGATAGAAATGGTTCTATCATTTATCCAGCCAGAGGAATTGATGCTGAACCCCTTCCAACAGATTCTAATGGAAAACCGGTCTATCCAGTAGTCGGACTTGACGGAAATTTGTTACCAACAAATCAAGATGGTAGAGTGGTTGACGAGAATGGAAGGCCTCTACCAACAAATGTTGCCGGTGTTCCAATCGACGAGCATGGAGAACCACTGCCATTCGATAAGAATGGCTACATCAGATATCCTGCTACAATAGAAGGACAGGAAAGACCTGAATACATCATTATAGGGACAGATGGAGAACCGTTACCACGAAATGAAGATGGATTGATTATTGGTCCCGATAACAGGCCGGTACCAACTGATACTTCTGGATATCCAGTGGATCATCGCGGAAGACCTTTACCTCGAGATCGAAATGGAAACATCATTTATCCTGCCAATGGCCTGGATGTTGAACCAATGCCAACTGACCGAAATGGCAGACCAGTGTATTTGGTGATCGGACCGGATGGTCAGTTGCTTCCGAAGGATAATGATGGTGCTGTGATCGATATCAATGGACGACCGATTCCGACGAATGCGGCAGGAATTCCGCTTGACAAATATGGAAAACCACTCACTATTGACCGGAACGGTTATGTTTTCTATCCAAAGGAAAGTTACGCAACTGAAAGAACCGAAACGCCGGAATACACTATTTTGGGACCCGATGGATCTCCATTGCAGCAGAATGCTGATGGGGCAGTTGCGGATCCATACGGTAGACCAATTCCAACAAATGCTGCTGGTGTCCCAGTGAACAATCGCGGAGAACCTCTGCCAAGAGACAAAAGCGGAAATATAATCTATCCGGCTGGTGGATTGGATGTCCCAGCACTTCCAACTGATGGTTATGGAAGACCTATTTATGAAGTTATTGGACCTGACGGTGAACATTTGCCAAAAGGTCCCGATGGAATAGTTTTAGACATGCAGGGCAAACCAATTCCAACAAATGCTGCTGGTGTCCCGGTGAACAATCGTGGAGAACCACTACCCAGCGATGAAAGTGGAAATATAATCTACCCGGCTGATGTATTGGAAGTCCCATCACTTGCAACTGATAGCTATGGGAAACCTATTTATGAAGTTATTGGACCTGATGGTGAACCTTTGGCAAAAGGTCCCGATGGAATAGTTTTAGATATGCAGGGAAAACCAATTCCAACAAATGCTGCTGGTGTACCAGTGAACAATCGTGGAGAACCACTGCCTAGAGATAAAAGCGGAAATATAATCTATCCGGCGGGTGGATTGGATGTTCCAGCACTTCCAACTGATAGCTATGGAAGACCTATTTATGAAGTTATAGGACCTGATGGTGAACATTTGCCAAAAGGTCCCGATGGAATAGTTTTAGACATGCAGGGCAAACCAATTCCAACAAATGCTGCTGGTGTCCCGGTGAACAATCGTGGAGAACCACTACCCAGCGATGAAAGTGGAA